GCGTCAGGGTCGGGATCGAACCCGCGACCTCCTGTAGACCAGGCGAGGTAGTTAACATCTCATAGCCACCGTGATGATGATGATGATGAGAGAGACACAAACTCCAAATATACAGCAGTAGGCGTCAGGGTCGGGATCAAACCCGCGACCTCCTGTAGACCAGGCGAGGTAGTTAACGTCTCCTAGCCACAGTGGTGATGATGATGAGAGAGACACAAACTCCAAATATACAGCAGTAGGCGTCAGGGTCGGGATCAAACCCGCGACCTCCTGTAGACCAGGCGAGGTAGTTAACATCTCCTAGCCACCGTGATGATGATGATGACAGAGACACACACTCCAAATATACAGCAGCAGGCGTCAGGGTCAGGATCGAACCCGCGACCTCCTGTATACCAGGCGAGGTAGTTAACATCTCCTAGCCACCGTGGTGATGATGATGATGAGAGAGACACAAAATACAAATATACAGCAGCAGGCGTCAGCGTCGGGGTCGAACCCACGACCTCCTGTAGACCAGGCGAGGTAGTTAACATCTCCTAGACACCGTGATGATGATGAGAGAGACGCACACACCACGACCTCCTGTATACCAGGCGAGGTAGTTAACATCTCATAGACACCGCGGTGCCCCCCCCCCCCCCCCCTCTCTATCTGCCCCCTGTGCGCTCTCAGTAACCTCACGGCCGTCTTTCACCACTAAGTGGTGGTGACGTCACCACGGCGCTTGTGCCAGGCTAGGTGCACTTTGAGGCCACGTGATGTGTCGAAGGCCCGCTGGCAGGAGGCCATGGGACAGACCCCAGGTGGTGCCATGGGTTGACTGACTGAGATGACTGGCACGTGCACCACCTGTGGCCCCTACTGGGCCAATTTGTTGCGTTTCAGCGCTCTGCTCGTTGTTTTGAGCTTCGCGCCTCTGCCCTCCGTTGTTGCTGGAGGGCGACTGCCTCCAACTGACCAGTGGCAGCGGCGTCCGTCACGAGCTACTCTAAGTATACATCCGTGCACAAAGCTTTACAGATAATGTACACACACGCACACACACACGCACACACACACGCGCGCGCGTCTGTCTGCGTGGGGTTCATTGTTCCGTGTTGTTGTTGGTGTTGTCGCCGCGGATCTATCAATGAGCGCTGAGCGATCGAGCCTCATTGAGATTAAATCTCTGTCGTTGGCAACACGCGCGGGGTCCAACCCGTCCTCCTCCTCCTACCAGTCGGGACGAAGGAGGCGCCTAGCGCCCCACCGGATGATCTCAGTTCTGCTGATGCTATTTGTTTAAAAACGGGGGGCCAGATAAGAATTAAGTAAAAACTATGTCAAAAAGTTGGACTATTAAATTGGCGTGTGGATAGCTACCCTGAAGGAGCTATCGAGTAGCAAACAACCCCCAGAATGTTCAGCACGTATTTACACTAAATAAACCGATGTGCACGGTGCTTGAAAAATGTTTAACACTTATACGGGACGACCGTTCGTAATGGAAAAAGAACGGATAATAATTGCACTGTAACGTGATAACAAATGTAATGTTAATAGCTTAAAGAAGTCCAAGAGTCTCTCCCACGCGTTCGCCATCGTTGTCAACGCTACGCCTGGAATCTCCTCCAGGCGGTCTCCAGAGCCCAGGAGGCGGCGGCGGCGGCACATTTCTCGCGGCGTTGTTACAAATTCTCAGAAGTGTTAAAACATTTTTGAAGCACCCTGTATATTAAAAGTAATGGTGTACGATGTTGTCGTCACATCGCATTGTGGGAAGACGGGTTTGCGTGAGGTCAATGTTTCATCCACCTGGTGATGCATTCCTTTGGCCACGCCCCAAAGAATCAAATATGGCCGCCCCAAAGAATACAATATGGCCGCCGAACACAAAAATGGCCGCCACACAATAAAATTGATCGCCATCTTGGGAAAGAAGCGGCTCGCGGATTTTCTTTTTTCCTTTTTTTTACGACGAGGATACAACCATTGTGGATATCTCTTGCAAGTCTCCCGTCTCTCATCACGACATCTAAACAATTCCTGTGGCGGTGTTGGGGGTGGTGGTGGTGGTGGTAGGATACAAAAACGATGCACGTATCTACAATGGCACGTGCGGTGATAGTGGTGGAGGCTCGGCGAGGTCTGGGAGGAGGGGGGTGGTGGTTGGGGGGGGATGGCAGGGGGCGGTGGACGAAGGTGAGGAGGCGTTGGTGGGTGGAGGGGGTGGAGGGGGGAAGGGGGTGGGGGCCGCGATATTGAAAGACTCCTCCCCCCAAGGCCACAGACGGAGGCACGCCCTCGTCCGCTCGCTCGCGATGAGCCGAACCCCTCCGGTCCGGTTTTGGATTCTTCCCTTGAACGCAATCGCCGTGTGGCCCTTTGACTCGGGGAGAGATGGACAGAGAGACACACACAGCGTCACGCGTGTACGTACCATGTGCCCCTTTGGTGGAGATGATGGAGCGATGAATTCGTCCAGCAGTTGAGTGACCACGGCTGGTGATGAATGATTGCTTGGTTTTCAGCCGGTTGGCAATCCAATGCTGGATAAATAACCTCCTCGTGTCGTGTCCGTGGGGTGGGGGGTGGTTGTTTGACCATACCTCACCGTACTGGTCAGTGAGGGTCGGTGATAGGGGACTGTCATGCGACCCCTGTGTGCATGCTGAACTTCTTTCGCAAAGTACATAGCCAACCGTGCTCATCCGAAGTGCGTGGGGAAGACAAGAAACAAAACACAAAATCAGTTCTAAAGACATTTTATTTCATCCGAGATGTTTTAAAAGTGCGTCATAGCTCCCAGTGGCTTCCTAACATCGGAAGGAAAGAGCGTTCCAGACGGCCGCAGGAGCGCATCTGCAAGCGCCGCGTGACGATGCGGCGAGCACCGTCTTTGTTCGATGGCCAGGAGCCAAAAGCCGCTGCCGCCGCTGCTGCTACGAGGATGAGCGGAGTTGGCGTGATGATGGCTTATAGCTCCTTGTAGAAATCAGCGGAGTGGGTCTTGTGGCTCATTCGGGGCAATCGCTTTGTGTGCGTATGGGATTCCTTAACCATCATCGCTTTCACTTCCTCCCACCAAGCTCTTTATCCCGATTACTTTATAGGTCGGTGATGCAGCTGCTGCTGCGTTAGCAGTGGTGCTGCGTACTTAGCAAATAGAGAGCCACAGATTAGCACGGTAGGCTACGTACGGTGCGAAAGCGATTCAACGAACATACAACCACAGAGACCCACAGACACCTCGACATATAGAAATCCACAGATTAGCACGGTTGGCTACGTACGGTGCGAACGAAGTTCAACAATTTCCTGCACAGATGCCATATTTTCTGTCCGTCTGCTACAGCAGAGGTGTAGGGAATTGCAACAAGACCTACATCTCTGCTTTATTGACCTGGTCAAGGCCTATGATACCATCAGTAGGCCTGGGCTCTGGGTTGTTCTTCGTTCTTTTGGAGTCCCTGACCCTCTGCTCACGATCATTAAGGACCTTCATGATGGTGAGCGGGCCCGGGTAAAACTACGTGGCCGGGAGTCAGAGCCATTCCCTGTACACCTTGGGGTGCGACAGGGATATCCTCTGGCTCCCACATTATTTAACATCTATTTTGACCACGTAGTTCGTGAAGCCTTCAATAGCTGTACCGGGGGAATCTCCATTTGGTACAAATATAATGGGAGGCTGATCGATGCCCGGGTGTGGTCAAGGGATGGCTCCCTATTGCTCAACCACGTTGTGTATGCCGATGATTTGGTAATAGCTGCTCATTCAGAGGAGGAGTTGGAGACGCTGCTGCTGAGACTGGAGCGTGCCACTAAGAGATGGGCTTTACCATCAGCCCCACCAAAACTAAGCACCTGCCTGGGTATTTTGTGCCATCGGACACTCCACCCTCACAACTCCCATTCGGTGATTGGGCAATTGTGGAGAGAGTGGAGAGTTTCCCATATCTGGGCAGTGTGCTTATGACCGGCTCCAGTTTAACAGCAGAGGTCTCACTCCGAATCAGTCGAGCGGCAATATCTTTTAATCGGTTGCGTAACGCTTTATGGAAGCTACCTGGTCTGTCACTCCGCACTAAGCTTCAGGTCTTCTCGGCCACGGTCATTCCCTCCCTTCACTACGCTTGCGAAACGTGGACCCCCCTAATGGTACATCTTCGCCGGTTAGAAACATTTAGGCTGGCCTGCCTACGATCCATCCTGGGTTTAACCAGACTGGATTGTGTGAGGAGCTCACAAATCCTTGAAAGATCTGGGCAAGTTCCCATCGGTGAGCTCCTCCGATGGGCAAGGCTGCGATGGCTGGGCCATGTAGCCCGCATGCCCAGCCACCGCATGCCGAAACAGCTTTTGTTCGGCCGGATCGAGGGGGCTAAACGGGCGCGGCACGGGCTAGAGAAGAGATGGAGTGATGTGGTACAGGAGGACGTGGAGCTGAGTGGACTTGTCGATGACTGGTACTAGCGGTGTCAAGATCGGCCTCTGCGGAGGAGGCTCGTGAAGGACGCTACTGGGCAGTTGGAGGCAGTCGCCCTCCAACAACAACGGAGGGCGGAGGAGCGACGCTCACAACAACGAGCGGAGCGCCGGGTGGCTAAGGCACAGCAGGTTGGCACAGTAGGGGGCACAGGTGGTGCATCAGCCAGTCATCTCAGTCAGTCGACCCGTGGCACCTGGGTCTGCCCCGTGACCTCCTGCCAGCGGGCGTTAGACACTTCACGTGGCCTCAGGGTGCACATAGCCTGGCACAAGCGTCGTAGTGACGTCACCGCCATTTATTGGCGAATGGCGGTTGTTGTTGTTGTATCTGTGTGTCTGTGTGATTGTGTGTGTGCGTCTGTGTGTGTCTGTGTGCGGGGAGCGGTGGTGTAGCGGTTAGCGATACGCTGCGCTACGAGCCCAGCGAACCGAGTTCGATTCCCGCTCACGGCCAACACCGGTGACGATTATCTGAGCCGGTCCTGGGCCTCCCCTAGATCGACTCAGCCTCAAATGAGTTCCAAAAGCGGCCGGGCGTGGTGCTGGCCAACCACCTTTGTGCCGTTCCGGCCTCCATAGATGCTCGCTAGCAGCACTCACCCTGCTAATCTGTTCGGATACAGAGCGGATCTTTGCGTGTGTTTGCGATATTGACCTGGTGGAGAGTTAAATCGTGATCTTCATTTAGCCTGGAGTCGGAATCCGATGAGCTATGAAGCTCGTCTTCAATCGGCGTCCAGTGTGGGCACGGTGTCAGCTAAGTCGCAACAACAACAAAAAAACACGATAAGAGTTAAACTTATAGAGAAAGGAAAGCAATGCACTCAATGTATTATCTCTAAAATATATTATATTAGTGTGATCTATTAAGCTTGAGCAAGGTAATAAATAACAACAACAACGCTGTCCCAGACCACACCAAGACAACACCGCACAGCAGTAGTCCCTCAATAGAACAATGGCACATTATATGATACTAATACAGGGCACTATAGAGAGCTCCTCCTCCTGTCCAGGGTACTTGGCCTACTCTTCCACTCGGGTCAGACGTCCGTGGACTAGATGGGAGTAGCGAACACTTCACCACCATACGTGGGTTACACCTTTATACTGCCCGGACTACAGAGCGGGGCGAATTGAGAAAGCTCGCGTCACGGTGGCTATGAGATGTTGACTACCTCGCCTGGTGTACAGGAGGTCGTGGTGTCTGCGTCTCTCTCATCATCATCACGGTGGCTAGGAGATGTTAACTACCTCGCCTGGTGTACAGGAGGTCGTGGTGTCTGCGTCTCTCTCATCATCATCACGGTGGCTAGGAGATGTTGACTACCTCGCCTGGTGTACAGGAGGTCGTGGTGTGTGCGTCTCTCTCATCATCATCACGGTGGTTAGGAGATGTTAACTACCTCGCCTGGTCTACAGGAGGTCGTGGTGTGTGCGTCTCATCATCATCACGGTGGCTAGGAGATGTTAACTACCTCGCCTGGTTTACAGGAGGTCGTGGTGTGTGCGTCTCTCTCATCATCATCACGGTGGCTAGGAGATGTTAACTACCTCGCCTGGTGTACAGGAGGTCGTGGTATGTGCGTCTATCTCATCATCATCACGGTGGCTAGGAGATATTAACTACCTCGCCTGGTCTACAGGAGGTCGTGGTGTGTGCGTCTCTCTCATCATCATCACGGTGGCTAGGAGATGTTAACTACCTCGCCTGGTGTACAGGAGGTCGTGGTGTGTGCGTCTCTCTCATCATCATCACGATGACTAGGAGATGTTAACTACCTCGCCTGGTGTACAGGAGGTCGTGGATTCGATCTCGACCCTGATGCCTGCTGCTGTATATTTGGAGTATATTTGGAGTCTGCGTGTCTCTCTTCCCGTGGTCGCGTGGATTTTTCTCCGGGTCCGCCTGGTACTTCCCCCCCCCCCCCTCCGCATTGAGAATCGACACCACCACCACCACCACCACAACCACCACCACCACGACCACCACCACCACCACGCTATACATTTCCACGCGATGATGATAAGCCAACTTAGTTTGAGCTATCATTTGTGCTAGCCAGGGTCGCTTCTGTGAAAGAGCTCTCTGTATAGCAGTTTAGTGGGCCGGTCTTACCTGGTAAAGTAAAAAAAAAAAGAATAGTGTTTAAACGTCAATTATAATAACAATCATTATTATACATCTCGCAGGTTGGAGACAATTGTTTTTTTCGCGTGACATTTTTCATCTCAAGCCTCGCACCGATCGACGGCGCTCACGGTGGGTGGGTGTGTAGGTGGGGGCGGGGGGGGGGAGGGAGCGGGCGGGTGGGGAGGTGAGGAGGGAGGGAGGGTTGAGGTGAGTAAGGAGGGGGCGGCGGAGGCTTTCCTGTAGAAGAACCCCACAGGCCACGACACGTGATCGTGGAGAGCGATCGATGTCGGCGGCTTTCACCTCCCGCGTCACCGGGCGGATCACGAGCGCCGGGGTCTCGCGGGCGCGTGGCTCGCCGCGTTTCGCACCGCGTGGACGTTTCGCTGGACGTTCGCAGGACGTTCGCCGCGGACGTTGCTCGGGAGGGGTTGCCCGTACGCTGTTGGCCACTCTACCCGTGTCGTAGTCGCAATGATAGCCGCGGCGCGGGATGCTTGCCCGGATGATGTTGCGTGGATCCGTGCGCTGTGATTATTATCATCTCGAGCCCAGGAATGTCTTGAATACATTGAGTGCTTCGTCAGTTGATGCAAGGCCCACGTTCAAACGCCTACGTGGGAAAATCCGAGATGCGCATTTGCCTGCAACAGATTCCCTAGGCCGGTGGCGGTGCTCTTCACACATTCTCAGCGGGGAGGGCGGTGGGTGGCACTATCGCCGACAAGACAGCAGCAGCAGTAGCAGCAGTGTGAGGGGCCACCACTACATTTGGAACCATTGGGGGTTTGACAGCAGCAGCACGACGATGATGACGATGATGATGACGATGGTGATGATGATGACGATGATGATGATGATCATGACGATGACGATGATTATGACGGTGATGATGATGATGATAACGATTATGATGATGACGATGATTATGATGAGGATGATGATGACGATGATGATGACGACGATGGGGGTGTCCTCACTCTTGATCTATCGTCACGAGGTTCCGCACTAAAGGCCAACAGGGGCCCGCCAATGGGCCTCGTGGTGGCCTTGCAATGAAGAAGGACTGTGCCCTCGGTGTCCCAGAGTGCACGTCTGTCGTGCCATCAAATGCAACCAATGCGTAATGACGACTTGACGCACTTCTCTTGAGATGGCACTTCATTGAAGACGCGTTCACTTGACATCAGGCGGAGACCCCCACCGCAACAGCCCCGGGTCTCCCGCGCGTCTCCCCCTTATACACCGAAACAAGCTCCACACCTCCCTTCTCGCTCATCCTCGCTGACTCTGGACGCTCCCGCTACCGACAGACTCCTGACCACGCTCCGTCTTCTCGATCATTCCCGTAGCCACCAGTCCCTTCACACTCACAGCTGACTCCGCTGTCATTACCTCCCGTGGCCACCAGTCCCTTCACACTCACAGCTGACTCCGCTGTCATTACCTCCCGTGGCCACCAGTCCCTTCACACTCACAGCTGACTCCGCTGTCATTACCTCCCGTGGCCACCAGTCCCTTCACACTCACAGCTGACTCCCCTGTCATTACCTCCCGTGGCCACCAGTCCCTTCGCACTCACAGCTGACTTCGCTGTCATTACCTCCCATAACCACCAGTCCCTTCGCACTCACAGCTGACTCCGCTGTCATTACCTCCCGTGGCCACCAGTCCCTTCCCAATCACAGCTGACTCCGCTGTCATTACCTCCCGTGGACACACAGGGCACGGAGGCTCTACTGTCATTACAACTGTAATCTATATTCTTGGTTCTACCCATACGGATGCTTATCTGAAACCAGATTCCCACCACCATCCATCCCAGAAGAATTCCCTCATCAAGACTCTGCACCATAGAGCCCAATGCATATCCGACCAGGAACACATAGCCAGTGAACTCAAGCACGTACACCAAGCTCTGAAGGCTAATGGTTACTCCGACTACACAATCCGCAAAGCTATCACTCCAACCATGAAGAAGGACCCTCTTGAGGAGCCTTTCAAAACCATCACTTTACCCTACATTGCGGGGATCACAAAAAATATCTCCAAAATCTTGAATAAACACAAGATCCAGGTCCGATTCAATACATTACATAAAATCCGTGATCTGGTTCCGTCTGTAAAAGATGTGATTCCGGACACACAGTAACCTGACATCTACAAACTAAGTTGCCTCTGTGGTAGTAGTTACATTGAAGAAACCAAACGACATTTCTCGGACCGCATTTGTGAACACAAAGCAGACCTTAAACACGGTAGGAGCAACACCTCGGCCGTGGCAGATCATTGTTATAATTCAGTAGGCTCACATAACATTGACTTCTCCAAGACAGAGGTTCTTTGCAAGCCATCTGGCTACCATGAGAGATTCGTTCATGAGGCTATCCACATATACAAACACAGAGACAATTTCAACCGAGAAGATGGATTCTGGCTTAGCAATCATTGGAAGGATTTGATAAAGCATTTTGGGTCTTAATTGATTGTTCACGCTTACGGTGGCTTTCAGACCGCATCCATTTTTTTTCGTCTCCCCCCTCCTCTTTTCCGAACATAGATGGACTCGTCCATCTGAACAAACTGTCAAATCGCTCTCCGTGGTGCTAACGTAAAAAAAAACCGCCACTTTTTTCAAATTTTCTTGCTGTGATTTTCACACCTGATGATGATTGCTTGTGTTGCAGTCGAAACGTCGTGATAATTTAATTGTTTTATATTTTTATTATTTTATTGTTTCCCTTCTACGTGACTTTACCGAAAGAACCAATAATATGAATCCCTGCAGTCACGAAAGCTTTAAATCAAACTGTACCTTTTATAAATATGTAGAACAAAGAGCATCATCATCATCGCCGCCGCCATCGCACACAACAGACATCCATAACGGGAAGTAATGACTAAGGTCGACGAGACAAACGTTCATAGTTCATAGTTTATTTATTTGGTATAGCCCTGTGAGCCATTCGGCTCTTGAATCGGGTGCAACCTCAACAAACAAAAAACATGAATAAGAAAAATCTTAAAGTGATTATGTGACTGTGCAAACAGAAAATCAAGGAAAAAAAACATCAAAATATTCCTGAAAAAGCACCGTACACCAACGCTGTGTGCAAAAATCCCAGTGGGATGCAAGTCAAATAACAACAACAACCACAAGACAACTAAGATTAAGGCCATCAGTCTAACTCCGTACTACAATAAACAAATACATGGCCAAAAACAAAAACACGTTTTCGAAATCACCAAAATAAAGCCATAAATGCAATGTAACAGTGATCATAGGGACTGTGACCGAATTTTGAACAATAAACTACGTAAATAAATTATAACACCAAAATCTAGAGCCATATTTTAGGCCACTGAATAGCAGTGGCAGCTAGGGGTGTACAACTCCTCTAGAGCAGTTTTTTGAGTGAAGATCTCATAGGTAGTGAACGTCGATTGATAGCTACCAAAGTCCGAGGGAGCAGCCTCAGCCTTAAACCATCTGATTAAGGGGGTTCGACAAACCAAACAAAACTAACTCGACTAAACATTTATATAACAAACAAACAACAACACAAATTAAAACCAACTCAATATTTTAAATAGCAGCAATGCACACGTGGTTGAACACGGGAGACGGTGGTGGTGGTGATCCTAAAGAGCCCCAACGTCGCCACGTGAAACTTGGACATCGATAATAGAGAGAATCAAGAGCTTCGTAGGTCATCGGATTTTACTTTTTATTTTTTTCCCCAGGATAAATACAAAAAAAATTCTGATTCTGAAACATCGGCACTTGGGGGTGGGGGAGACAAAGGCGGCCGTGAGTGGGGAAAAATCGCTCACACCACCAACCAGCACCCCCGTCCCGCTCCCTCCACTCGGCCCGGGGTCACCGTACGAGGCGACAGGGATTAAACGGTGCGAGGCAGCAGCAGCAGCAGCCTCTTTGCCATTTTATCATCTCAACATTTATCACCCATTTGAGGAAGTCAGTCAGCCAGGGCCCCCAGGGGGGGGCAGGTGGGCGGCGGGGGGGGGGGGGGTCTCACCGGGGCATCCGCGTGATTGCCGCCTCTCGCAGCGGTGGGCGTCTCTGGCATTCGCGGGGTCGGATGAGAAGGCTCCCTTCTCTTGTCACTCACAGCGCTCAGTCGACTGTTAAAACCCCGCGCCGATGCCGGGGCGAACGGAGAGCTGAGAGCGAGCGGAGAACAGCGAGAAGCGAGGGTATGGGGGTTTTTTATTTTATTTTATTTTCTTGCATCCGGACGCGTGTTTCCTCTTGATGCAAATTAACAACAACAACAAGTCAGTTTGAAGCGTAGGAGTAGGCTTGCTCGTCCAATATCGCCCACGGCAGAGAGGTGTGTGTTGGGTTAGATCGCGTAAATATATATGTGTGTCGTTAAGCCAGCCACCACCACCCTCGTCAGCTAATGAGCAAAGTGTGGGCACGTTCACGGGACGTGCCAATTCGTTACTAGTCCATCACCCCCCCCCCCCCCCCCCCCCGCTGTGTGAGAGAGTGAACCCACGACATTTACAATTCGAGTACTCTAATTGTAAATGTTGAGGGTTTAACTCTCCAACACACAGCCGGTGTGTGTGCTGTACTCGTCACTATTTCACCACCCGGCTGTGTCCGGTGGTGGCGGGTTTAGCGACACGTTTTTACTCACGTGATCTCACCCAAAAAAAACCTCTCTTATGGATAATAATACAAAACAATGAAGACGTTCGTCAACTTCGCGAGCTATGTGTGGCCTTAAGCGGAAGAATATTTAATGAGGCGACGTTTCGGTAAAGACCCAGTTTCACAGCACGTGAAAAAATATATCTGGTTTCGATATTTGTATTTTTTGTGTGGCTGATGTTGATGATGAAGAGCTACAGCTGTGAATCTACATGGTGGTGGTTAATGAGCCAGATGATTGCGTCTGGAGTAGCGGAGTGGCGAATCATCATCGCTGTGGTGACGATGATGCCTCCTCCTTCGTATAGATCTCTGTGTGACTCTAAGGGTCTCTACGTGAGTTTATGGGTCTCGGTTGGAATCCAAAGCCCTCTGTGTGAGTCTATGGGTCTTTGTGTGAATCTATGGGTCTCTGTGTGAGTCTAAGGGTCTCTGTGTGAGTCTATGGGTCTCTGTGTGAGTCTATGGGTCTCTGTGTGAGTCTATGGGTCTCTGTATGCGTCTATGGGTCTCTGTAGCAGTCTATGGGACTCTGTATGAGTCTATGGGTCTCTGTATGAGTATATGGGTTTCTGTATCAGTCTATGGGTTTCTGTGTGAGTCTATGGGTCTCTGTATGAGTTTTTGGGTCTCTGTATGAGTCTATGAGTCTCTGAATGCGTCTATGGGTCTCTGTGTGACGTTATGGGTCTCGGTCTGAGTCTATGGGTCTCTGTGTGAGTCTACGGGGTCTCTGTGTGAGTCTACGGGGTCACTGTATGAGTCTATGGGTCTCTGTGTGAGTCTATGGGTCTCAGTGTTAGTTTATGGGTCTCTACGTGAGTCCATGTATCTCTGTGTGAGTATATGGGTCTCTGTAAGAGTCTATGGGTCTCTTTGTCAGTCTATGGGTCTCAGTGTGAGTTTGTGGGTCTCTGTGTGAGTCTATGTGTCTCTGTGTGAGTCTATGGGATCTCTGTGTGAGTCTATGGGTCACTGTGTGAGTCTACGGGTCTCTGTAAGTCTATGGGTCTCTGTGTGAGTCTATGGGATCTCTGTGAGTCTATGGGTCACTATGTGAGTCTATGAGTCTCTGTGTAAATTTAAGGGTCTCTACGTGAGACTATGGGTCTCTGTATGAGTCTATGGGCCTCTGTGTGAGTCTATGGGTCTCTGTCTGAGTCTATGGGTCTCTGTATGAGTCTATGGGTATCTGTGTGAGTCTATGGGTCTCTGTATGAGACTATGGGTCTCTGTATGAGTCTATGGGTCTCTATGTGAGTCTATGGGTCTATGTGTGAGTCTATGGGTCTCTGTGTCAGTCTATGGGTCTCTGTGTGAGTCTATGGGTCTCTGTGTGAGTCTATGAGTTTCTGTATTAGTCTATGGGTCTCTGTATGAGAATATGGGTCTCTGTATGAGTCTATAGGTCTCTGTATGACTCTATGGGTTTCTGTATGAATCTATGGGTCTCTGTGTCAGTCTATAGGTCTTTGTGTGAGTCTATGGGTCTCTATGTGAGTCTATGGGTCTCTGTATTAGTCTATGGGTCTCTGTGTGAGTCTATGGGTCTCTGGGTGAGTCTATGGGTTTCTGTGTGAGTCTATGGGTCTCTGTATGAGTCTATGGGTCTCTGTATGAGTCTATGGGTCTCTGTATGAGACTATGGGTCTCTGTATGAGTCTATGGGTATCTTTGTGAGTCTATGGGTCTCTGTGTGAGTCTATGGGTCTCTATGTGAGTCTATGGGTCTCTCTGTGAGTCTATGGGTCTCTATATGAGTCTACAGGTATCTGTGTGAGTCTATGGGTCTCTGTGTGAGTCTATGGGTCTCTGTATGAGTCTATGGGTCTCTGTCTGAGTCTATGGGTCTCTGTGTGAGTCTATGGGTCTCTGTATTTTTCTTCGTGTGGCTGCTGATGATGATGCAGAGTCAACAGCTGTGATTCTACACGGAGGTGGCTGATGAGCCAGGAGTAGTGCGGAGTGGTGAAGAATTCACAATGTCACACGATTTTTGTTCCTGGGTAGTAAGTGTTATTTTCTAATTGCTTATGCCTCAAACGTACAGAAAATGGCAATTATTCCCCAGCTGCTGTTGTTTGAGGGGGGGGGGGGTCCCACCGTGTGACCCCCCCCCATCCCTCCTCCGCCTCGACATCTTCAAACTAAAGCGGAAGTATTACATCTGACAACATCGTGACGTCGAAGCACAGACACACATTTTTTCCTTGGTAATGGCTGTGTATGGGATTTTGGTCCTCATATATACAATTGATGGGCAGCGTTGACGCTATAGCAAGTTAAAGTATTCTTGTTGTTGTTCGTGAATAGATCTTTTAACTCGTTACACTGCACTGCTACCTGCGCACGGTGTCCGCTACTCTCTGTGGTAGAGAGAGGACGACTCAGAGAGAGGACGACTCAGACAGGGAGTGAGGACGACTCAGGGAGAGAGAGGACGACTCGGAGAGAGAGAGGACGACTCAGAGAGAGAGAGAGGACGACTCAGAGAGAGAGGACGACTCAGAGAGAGAGAGGACGACTCAGAGAGAGAGGACGACTCAGAGAGAGAGGACGACTCAGAGAGAGAGGACGACTCAGAGAGAGGACGACTCAGACAGGGAGTGAGGACGACTCAGAGAGAGAGAGGACGACTCAGAGAGAGAGGACGACTCAGAGAGAGAGGACGACTCAGAGAGAGAGGACGACTCAGAGAGAGAGGACGACTCAGGGACAGAGAGGACGACACAGAGAGAGAGAGGACGACTCAGAGAGACAGGACGACTCAGAGAGAGAGGACGACTCAGAGAGAGAGGACGACAGAGAGAGAGGACGACTCAGAGAGAGAGGGGACGACTCAGAGAGAGATGGAGGACGACTCAGAGAGAGAGGACGACTCAGAGAGAGAGGACGACTCAGGGACAGAGAGAGGACGACTCAGAGAGAAATGGAGGACGACTCAGAGAGAGGACGACTCAGGGACAGAGAGAGGACGACTCAGACAGAGAGTGAGGACGACTCAGAGAGAGAGGACGACTCAGGGACAGAGAGAGGACGACTCAGACAGAGAGTGAGGACGACTCAGAGAGTGAGGACGACTCAGAGAGAGAGGACGACTCAGATATAGATGGAGGACAACTCAGAGAGAGAGGACGACTCAGAGAGAGAGAGGACGACTCAGGGATAAAGAGAGGACCACTCAGGGAGAGAGGACGACTCAGAGAGAGAGGACGACTCAGGGATAAAGAGAGGACGACTCAGGGAGAGAGGACGACTCAGAGAGAGAGAGGACGACTCAGGGATAAAGAGAGGACAACTCAGAGAGAGTGAGGACGACTCAGAGAGAGAGGACGACTCAGGGACAGAGAGAGGACGACTCAGACAGAGAGTGAGGACGACTCAGAGAGTCAGGACGACTCAGAGAGAGAGGACGACTCAGGGACAAAGAGAGAACGTTTCAGAGAGAGAGAGGACGACTCAGAGAGAGAGGACGACTCAGAGAGAGAGAGAGGACGACTCAGAGAGAGAGGACGACTCAGAGGCTCCAGGAAGAGGAACCACAGACGAGGAGCGGGAAGGCAGCAGCAGTCACGTGGCGATGAGGAGTCGGCGCTACCTACGATTGCCCAAGCTCTGCTGTCCTCTATATGCGAAGGTGTCATCGGCCAATTGGTGAGTGTTTACAAGCGGGCGGAAACCAGAACACCTGGAGAAAACCCACGGATGCGAGGGGGCAACGCTCTATCCCCATCCAGATGTGGCACGTGGAGTCCACCCTTTGCTGTAACCGCCAGGGCACGGCCCTTCCTTGACACCCACCCACGGGAAAGGAACGCCGCCCCATCTGTGCGGTGATCCACCAACCCCTTGTTGTTGCTGCTGCTTCCACAGCGGCGATGACTGAGATCACTGGCAGTGACGTGCAGCAGCGTAGCCACCATCGCCACCACCGCCGCCACCACCGCCAAAACCGCCACCGCCACCACCACAACGCCACCACCACCACCACCCCACCACCGCCACCACCGCCACCACCACAACGCGACCACCGCCACCACCACCGCCGCCACCACCGCCGCCACCACCACCGCCACCACCACCGCCACCACCGCCACCACCACCGCCACCACCACCACCGCCACCACCGCCACCACCACCTGCACGTGCACGGGATGAGTGACTGCGGCAGTGCCACGGTGCACGTGCAGGCGGTGAACGCTTTACAGCGGTACGTGGCGCGTATGTTCTGTCACTCAGCCCAACAATCAGCTGTCGATCGCAAAATAAATCTCGCGAGTTAATTTTGTCTCTCTCGAAGGAGGAGGAGAATGACTACGAGGGGCGGTGGTGGCGGTGGTGGTGGTGGCGGTGGTGGCGGTGGTGGTGGCGGCGGTGGTGGTGGCGGTGGTGGTGGCGGTGGTGGCGTTGTGGTGGTGGTGGCGGTGGTGGGGTGGTGGTGGTGGCGGTGGTGGTGGCGGCGGTGGTGGCGGCGGTGGTGGTGGCGGTGGTGGCGTTGTGG